CCGAGCGCCTGCTCGGCCGAGCTCCGAGAGCATCGAGCGAGGGCAGCGGCGGGGCTCTCACGGCGCACCGGACCCCGGCGGCCCGCACTAAGGGGGCTCTCGGTGAACAACCAAGGCTGTCATTGCACTGACGCATGAGGAAAAGGCAGAAAGTAGATGAAGGAGAGGTCAAACCATGACATAATATCTAATCTTCTCTGCCCTCCATAGCAAAGGATTGCAGCATCAAATGAAAAAGCCTGCTGTGAAACATATGCCAGGCAGAGAGGCAAACACCCAGACAAAACCTTTTATAACTGCAAGGTTGTGGAAACAATGTTCTCACGGGATAATGGATAATTGGTACACGAACTCTGAATAATCCCCAAAGATACAGCAAGGCCATGAGAGGCCCGAGGAAGCTTAAGCAAGCAAGATAAGAAGCAGCTCGAATTCACTGAGTTATGAGAACTGTAGACTGCTGGCAAGCTTTCGAGGTCAAGTTCTCACCCCTGTGCTTAACCAGTTATATGTTAGTCACTAAGGGTCTTCAAGACATGTATCCAATCATAATATGCCGAATTACTGTAAGTGCATGTAAGAAACAGTATATAAGGAGTTAAGGCTTTGCAATAAACAGCTTTTGTCTGATCACATCGATCTCTGACTGAGTCCATATAGTTTCTGTGGCACAAGGTGAGCATATTTGATTAGTGAGGAAATGCCCAAGGCTTGTTTAGAGTTAAGTTTCTGCACAGAGCAGCACTGATGGCATAGCAAGTGTTCGCTCACAGAAATGGCTCTTCCATGTAGTTGTTCTCTTTAGACAGCGCCTGTGGAGCCATGACGATGCCTCCAACTGATGTGTTTAAACCATCTCAAGACCTTCCATGTATTTGGTTTCCAATAGGTCTTCTCTAATGATTTGAATTGTTGACTGAGCAGCAAGCTAGAGAGACCAAAGAGGCACCAGATAGTGGTATCATTACTCAAGAAGTCAGAAGGAAAGAAGGATTTTTGCTGCATCACAAGATTCAGATTAACAGGTAGGTAGCATGTCAACCAGATCCAAGTCCAACAACCAGGACTCTTGTGAAGTTTGCCAACCAGATGGGTCTGCAAATTTGGGATCCTTACATCAGCCCTTCATGACAATTAAAGAAAGCCCTCATTAGCAGTTTGCTTCAGTCTTTTTCTAGCTCTTCAGTCTTATTGCTCTTCTTTTGGATTTCAGACTACCTAGTCCCATAGTCCAAGTGCAAGAGGGGAGGACAGGGAAGGAGTAGTTTATGTGAGCTAAGCACACCATGGTCCATGAGCAGAAAATTGTAGAGGTGATACCAAAACCAGCAGAGGCCTTGGCATATTGTGGAGAACACAACATAGTCCAAAGAGCTGAGAGACAGTCAGCTCTCTCAAGGGAATGCCTTAGACTGGACTGTTCTAAGGACCTTAAACCCTGCAAATCACAGGGGTAGTTAGACAATGACATTAAACCCCACGTATGCATGTTGAAGGATTCCTGAACAACTAACAACCTTTAATGATGGCCACTCCATAAATGTAATACATACTGGGAGAGAACACAACAGCTTAAAATAATGAAAAAAAAAAAAAAAAAAGAGCCATACCTGTAAGCCAAAGTGGGGAGTCATTGCTTGTGTCCTTCTGTCCTTTCAGAACACTGCCTGTGCTCTGCTAGGAGAAAACTCTAGGATGCTAACATAGGAAGTTCAGCCTCCTTCATGTCCCATGACCTCAAAACCTGCAGGATCTGGCAGGAGGCCAGGCCAAATAGCTTTCATACGTGAAGTCAAATGCAGACCAGATGGTGCACTTTTCACTGCAGCCATTTATTTCTCAGTATTTTCTCAATAAAACTCCATTGCTTACTGCAGTACAACTTCATACCCAACTGGTACAAGATGCTGTATGTAATTTCTCATAACTCATTTTCACTCTGTTAAACTGCTTCTGGAAGTGTTTTGCAGCAGGATTCTCTGCATTCTTACATTAACCTGCTCAGCAGGAACACTTTTTGGCACCACACTTTTGAACGGGCTGAAGGCAGAAATACATCTCGGCATTTTTATCTGATTGCCTTAATGAAGAGCTTTGTGTAAAATCCAGCAGCACAACATCACCTGCTGTTATCTGTTACATCTTCCTTTAAGCTGTTGGTGTTGTTAACTTTGAGTTATCAGGCTTATAAGATTTGGAGATTTTTCTACTCCATCTGACAGCAATAGAAAATGAGGACAGCAAGCACAGTTCTGAATTTAACAAAACAACCCAATGTTTTTTCTTCTATCCTCTTTTATCAGTCACTCAGAGGTATAGGCACAGACTCTCAGCTGTAATCCATCTTCCTTAAGTAGCACAGCCAATAAAGTCCATCTGGAGACCCTTCTGGCATGGTGAAAAGACTTGGCATGGTTCAGCACTGCACCAGCTGACTTTTCCTCTGTTCTGTCTCCTTGCCAAGTTGTACTTACTGGATTTGAAAAGCCTGTGTGGGGAGATAGGCCCTATTCAGACGATAAAGGATGGCATGACACTGGGTCTCTCAGCAAAGCAGGGCTATGCTCACCTCAACGTGGGACAGCCTGAGAGTTTCATTATCAAAAAATCTTTAAGGCTTTGTAAACTTTGAGTAAGATAAGACTCAATAACACGAGACCTTTAAACAAAGTCCTCATGTATCTTCCTAGTCATCTTGCTCTTGTAGGCTACTGTGCTCACCAGCTTTTTCAAAATGGGGTGACTGTGTGAGCTGGGGAACGACAAGGTGGGCAGTAGCTTTTATACTCTTTTGCAGTGGTGCAGCTCATTGTCAAAAGGTGCAACATGCTCATTCTGCTGCTGGTGGTCAGCAGGATGTGGGAACATCAGGCAAATCTTGAGGCTTTATCAGTATTCCCTAAAACCTGACTCTGTACAAACAACGCCATCACTTATGACAGTCCTCCTCCATTTCTGCAAGTACTTCTGTGGATCCTGATGTCTCAGCAAGGTTTAACAGATGTTATTATGGTTGCTTCTGCTTGTAGGCCTGTTCTCTGATCTCAGTATTTTTCAGATGATCATCTAATCTGCTTTTCTGACTCACTGACATGAGAAATGACAAATTCTACAGTGACATGCATGAAAATTTAACATTTCCATTGAAATTGAAAAGATGGGCAATGTTTTTTAGCAAACCACATCTGAGATTTGAATGACAGGAAACAAATGACAACTGTTAGTATTCCCCTGATAAAGGGCTGCTGACTTCTGAAATCAGAAGCCCAGCTCTGCCCTTTCATCCTATTAAATACCTACTAATTACCTATGTAACTGCTACAGACCCAGACTGAAGCTTGGAGGTTAGGTTTGTAGGAAGAGGCTTTAGAAAAATGTAGGAAGTAGCAGTATAAGGACACTCCTTTGTTTTCTTTGTTTGGATTTATTGTGAAACAATGAAAAGTCCCATTAATCCAAAGGACTCCAATTATTCCAATTGAATTCCAATAATTAAAGATTGTAACTTCTGCAAAGACTTCTGGATCTAAAAATGTTGAATCTAATGTAAAATAATTAAGAGCTAAAAGATAAGATTGTCAAAAAGGTCTGTTGTTTATATTTGCACTAGATAAAATGAAGAAAAACAGGAAAGCAGTCATTAAAAAATACTACGTTTGCATACATTGGCATAGGGGAAGCTACTGTTGATGGAAAACGCAGAATAAAGTGATAATGGTTCCCTTGATCACACTCGAGGTTTCTACTTTCAGGAAAGACTCTTGAAAACCCAAATTCTTTCTGAATTTGAAAAGAAGACAAAGGGAATGTTGGAGATGAATCAAGCTCTGCTTTCTCTCTCTCTTTTCAGAAGCAAGCAGTAGATGGCGGTAGGAAACCTCATCAGTGCAACCAGCTGTTAGCAAAAACGGTGATTCCAGCAGTGGAATCTCGGTTATCACAGTCTCCCTGAATGGAGTTGATACTACAGATTCCTCACCCATGTACACTTTTGGCTTGGCTTTGGTCAATATAGCAGCTATCAGTATTATTATTTGCTTATCAAATAAGATACAACCTGAGTGAGTACAGTAAATGTACCATTCTCCCCCCTTAATGTCCCTCCAACACGTTAGGTGAGAAACATTTATCAGGAATAAATCTTCAAACACGTAAGATGTCTGGAATAGGAGAAAAAGTAGCATTAAAAACTGTGGGTCTTTAGACACTGAGATCAGCTCTGCTTGAATTATGATTCCGATATCTGTTAAAACTTCCTGAGGGATTTAGTTAAACATGATGGAACTTTTTCTACATTACATGGGAACACTGATCCTGTTGTGGTCACACTGTGCCCATGTCCCCATTACCAGTTAACAGACAGGGCACCAGTGGTGGTCCTCAAGCTCAACTAGCAGCCTGGCCCTGTCCTACAAGCAGCAGCTCAGACCTAGAGGCTTGCGCAGCACAAGTTAGTCACTTGTTAGTTCCCCCCTGCAACAAACACACCATAAATGGGACAAAACTCTCCTGAATTCACTCCCTTTTCCTGTGTACTTAGGATATGTCACCTGGGAATCATATACTTCTAGTAAAATAGAATATGAAAGAGTTTTATAGTGCCACTTTGTTACTGCCTTAGCTTTACAAGTTGCATGCAGCCTGACACAGTTCCTAGAAACAACAGGATGAGAGTTTGGGAAATATTTTGCATGCCAGGGGAAAGAATGCTGGAAAGACCATGCTGTGGTTACAGACCAGACAAAGGGCACACACACTGCTTTTTCTTCTCTGCAAAAACATTAGTTTTGACTTGTTTCTCAGTGGTGATTTCCTCATACTTTTAATTCAGGGCCTAGTTTAAACCTCTTGGACTCAGAGGGAATGTAACTGTCACCAGCTGAAAATAAGTAGTGAAGGAACATTTGTGAAATACATCAGTGTAAAAAAAGCACACACCAATCCCCTCCCCCCCACAAAACACCCCAAAGCCCACAACCAACAACAACAAAAAACAAAAACAAAAACCCACATAAAGAATTATTTCCTGTTTTTTCCTAAAGTTATTCTCCAAGCAACAATCTCTTCTGGTAGAAAAACTGAGCAGACAGAGGACTGGACAATTGTTACCCTGAGAACTGGCTTCACATCTCTCATTAAAATTCAGTTGTTGTGCATAACATTTTTGCCCTCCAGCTTTTCTCCCCACTCAGTGGGTAGAGGTACAATGTACTATGGAAAATAATGGTTCACATAAGCACTACACACAATGCAACAGGTACCAGACAGCCCCAGTGTCTTTGACTTTTCCAAGTCTATCATTTTACACTTAAATATGTTGTTTCAAAGCAAAGTAACAAATCACAGAAGGTGTAAAACACCTTTAACAAATCACAGAAGGTGTAAAACACCTTTAACAAATCACAGAAGGTGTAAAACACCTAAAAGATTAAACCTATTAACCATAAGTTATCATTCAGAAGCTCATATGCCCAAAGATAGAATTGGAAAGTGCAGGCATTTGAGAAAGCTTTCTGGTTTGCTTTAGGAAGAGCTCCTCACAATTGGGTGACAATGCTTCTCTTTGCACCCTTCCTCCCACATATATAAAGCTCAATGTGGTAGTGAGAACTCTTGACAGTGTTGACACTGGTGTGTTATCAGCATTATGTTCAGACTAAAGCTAAACCACAGCTACCAGGAGGAAAATTAACTATCTGAGCTGAAACAAGGACACGCTGACTTACTCTGGAGAGCAGCAGACCAAGCAACTGCTTTCAGTCATCCTGAAGTGCTGAGGTCAAGAGCCACCTCCACTGTAGGAGTCTACAAGCCAGGAAGAAAATAAACAGGCATGTTTGCTTTGACAGATTCAGCAGCAGGAGGAAACATGTTTTCCCAGGTTTTGTATGTGAATGTCCAGGCATATTGTTGTGTGAAGAACACAACCCTGATTTGCATTTACGGTCTGTATCTGCTCTTCTAGATACAGGTCTCTAGATCCTTCTCAGCATCTATTCTTTTTTCCAAACTATTTAACATTATTTGAAGCTGTAACATGTTTTTACTGGTAACTATTGACATAAGCAAATGATTCTCTGCAGTTCACACCAAATACTCAGCTACATGCACATGCTGGGTGCCAGCCCATTTCCCACACATTCACTGCTATTCTAGTGATCTAAAGATCTAGTGATCTCACCTACCTATGCTGCAATTACACCTTCATCTTGCTCTGCAGACACATTCAGAGCCACTGAGAACTGAGCACGGATAGCTTGTGAAACTGCACAGGCTAGTGAAAAACAGGAAAAGGCCTCTTATCAAATTAGTAACATCTCGGGTATTTGGGTGGAGGCATTTGGCACTGGGCTTGCGTATTCTTATGGGAGTGAGTCCATGCATACTACAAACTCCATTCCTTTGCTTCGTATTATTGTTCCCAAGTTGAGACATGTTTCAAAAGAGCCTCTCTAAAGATGTGTAAGTGCACAATTACTATATGCTACACAGATCAGTAAGACGGAATTTTACTCAATCCCCTTTCCATACATGTAAAATAAATCAAGTTGATGGCAGTTACACAGATGTGTGCTGCATTAAGATCACTGCAAAACTAAAGTAGGCATCTCTTTTGTACCTTGCCATGCAGAGCTATGGGAAATAACTAAGACCATTGGAAAAGCCTAGGATGACTGACTTCTGCAGTAAGCACCAAGTGTGGGCCAGTTTTGCCACTTGGAATAACCCATCAACTGCTTGAGTTGGAAATACTATCAGTTTTTTCTTTGACCTTGAACCAAATCAAACCCAGTACTATGTTTTAGATGCTATATACACTTTGCAATGTACAGCAGTCTATGTCAGGTATGCATAAACACACTTACAGTCATACTACGTAGTGTGTATACATCACCCAGAACAGTTTTACTACCTGCATACTTGTCTTAATGTCTGCCACTCAGCTTCAATTCTTGTCATTCCTTCATCTTCAATTAAAACAATAATCTTGTAGTGAGAAGGTAAGCAAGGTACTGCTACCTGCATCAGAAGGGGCTCAAAGTGCACTGATGCTGGAGGGGAAGCTGGCACCTACTTAACAGGTGATGACATTTTTCCAGGTGGTTTAATGAAAGCCAACAAGTTCCTACTGGACTCTGCCTGTCAAATTCAAAGAGCAGGTGTGAGTAAAAAGCATTTCTTACACAGACAGCTGGTGTTCTTATAAACCCTCAAACAGGAAAATAAAATAGAAACTAAGAGAAATCACCACCTTGTCTGAGAAATGTGCCTGTAGCTGAAATGGAGTGACTCAGTTCTGTTCACAGAGCAGTAGAGAGAGTAAGTTCTTCATTATTGCTTCAAAGGCAAAACAGACATGGGGAAAGAGGAACTGGGAAAACAGATTTCAGAGCTTTCTGGGTTTATTGTAGTTTAAATAGGGATTTCTGCAATCTCCCACCTTAAACTGTTCAGTGGCTTTGAACATCAGTCTCTTCCTTTAGAAACTGAAACACAGCACTGCAATCCTTACTGGGGACAGCCACTGGGTATTTTAAACCTACATACCTGATGTCACAGCAGCTGAAGACCCAGCAGCTATGATGCAAGAGAGAACTTCTCATTGTGCAACGACCATAAAGCTCAATTCTACAACACTGAGACTTTGTTCTGATGGAGTTGTTCGACTAAGTCTTAGTCAAACAGGCAGGCCTGAGCTCTACATACACCACACAGCTGTATGCCCGAAGGTGTATGTGGGGTTTGGTATAACCATCTTCTTTAAAACAATTTAGCTACAATGACACAAACTCCTACACAATCTGCACTCAGTTTAAACTTGGATTTTATTGATTTCCCATATTAAATCCAAACCATTAATAGCAAGCAGTTCACAAAAATAATGGATCTGGAGTAAGCCCTTCCTATCAGTTCTTTGCTAGCTGTAGTGTTCCTAATGAAGCAGCACACAAACTGATGGGGAAGCAGAGGGAAAAGCCAGCAACCCCATTGCTCAAAGGGCAATAATCTCTGCTTCTCCTCTACAGGCCTGTGTCCCTTTTATTTCAATTTACAACAGTAAGTCTCAGCACAGAAAGCCTCCCATGGATTAACAACCAGTTTGTGTCCTTTGGGCTGCCTCTTGTATCCACAATCATTTCCACCCAGTTACTAATCTCCAGGAAATGCCTTGCACTCATACATGGCTGCATGCGAGTGCAATAAAAGCACACATGCATTTGCTACATGTTTGTTAACTGCTGAAAAACAGCAAAAAAAATGGTGATCCTTTTTTTCCTTTTGAAGTGTCATGATTTCCTGGTAAAGGTAACAGATACTAAAATCTGAGCACAGAAAACTTTAACCCAGACTCTGCCAGTATGGCAAGAACCACTGAGAGGAAGGATTTTTATTGATTTTTTTAAGGGAAAAGCTCCTGCATATTGTACTTTAAACCCAGATGTGGGGTGACAAAGAATTTGCTGTTACCTGGACTTTGCAGCCACCTCCCTCTGTTGGCAGAGGAATGATGTGGCACAGGAGCAGGACAAAGTAAACTATGCAGCAGCATCTAGAGCAGGAGGCTTTATTCTCCTGTAGATCAGCTTCATGCTCTCTCTACCCTCCTGACTGGCCTTTAGTCCACATGTGCAATTCTATCTTCTTTCCCTTTTAGCTGCTTTCGTGCCTAGTTCACCTTCTAGATACGCTTGTCTTCCTGAACAGCCTGCACAAATGACATCATCCCATTAGCCTATTTCATGGTCTTCATGTGTCTAAAAACAAATAAGGAAGCAGTACAGCAATCTAGATAAAGCGTGAAGAAGTCTGGCAGGCCCTTGCTTGCTGGCTATAGGAAACCATAATCCAGGAAAGATTCGGAAGCGTTTTCACAGGCTGTTTCTCCAAATAGTGTTTTTGTCAAGAGAAACACCCAAACTATTGGTGGACTTGCACACAAATGCTCTATTTTTGAACTGGAAATGTCAATGCTATTGTGACCTGAGCAAGCTAAAACAACTTACCAGGCTTTGCAGTTTCACCTTCCTGATTATTCTTTCACAAATTCTACTTGTGGAGACACCAGACCTGCATGATTTCCTCAGTAGCATGGACAACTATCACTACACGTTAGACCTTGGCAGATTTTATCCAAAGAAATAGTTTGCCATGAGCTTTGGCAGGGCTGGGTCACACAGGCACTTCCTTGACATGCGGGCAAAAAATGACAACAGTGTTGATGCAAGGAATAATCCTGAGAAGCAGCTCATGGTCAGGCCCTGGAATAGAAGGCATTCAAAATACTCTGCAGGATCGAGGCCCCAAACATGTTTCATCCCTTTATAACCACAAGCTATATATTCTTGTTGTACACAGATGAGAGATGTTAAGGTGGGATTTTGTGGTGGCTCTATTTTTTTAGTGACAATATGCTGTTGAATCTTTACCCAGTCATTCCTCAAACCAGCAAAGAGATAGGAAGAAACCAGTGCCAAGGTACCCTCAAAGGCCATTAACATTCATATGCAAAATACTACATCATGTCCTTTCATTTCAGCAAATTATGAGTGAAGCAATAACAAAGGGTCTTTATGTGTCTCCAAGACTTCTATCTGCTTCCATTTCCCATTGTTTCTGCTCTCATATAAATTAACTAACTGGGACATGCAGATTGCTCACTAAGCTGCTGTCATCGTGGGGGTATCCTACATTTATGGAACTCCCAGCAACAGCTTAACAATTAGCAATGCTATGACTTACTAGATAGGTTTGCAACCAAAGCCAAGAAGATTATGTAAACTTGCATAGGTTTTCCATACCTTGGAAAGAATACAATACACACTGAAGAAAGTATGTTACACACCTTACGTCTATTAAAATGAACTATTCCTGTGTTCATTTTCAATAAAACTCAGTGAAGATAAAAAGCATTATTCTCATCTTTTCCACTGCTTTGACCTTTTTCCTGTAATTCTCACCTAATCTTTCAATGATGCTCCTGTTTTATTAATATTAAAACCTCAGAAATTAGAAGAAAAAAAAAAGGCCACACAAAATGAACATCTGTGGATAAAAATACTCTGATTTCCTAAGTGCTGAGCCATTTAAAAAGTACTTTCCATCATGGGTTTTAAACGTTTTAGTTGGCTAATCCCTTTCTTCTTTTGCTGCTATTAACAGGCATGGCAGCAGTTGTAGACAGCCCAGTGTAACAGCATTAGCAGTATAGCAGAGTTTGCAATTTAACCCTGATTATGAGTAGCATTAATGACAGCAGCCATTGGTTAGTATGCACAATAATTTACAGGTTCATATTTCTCACTCAGGTGCTAGGGCCCTGAGAGGCTGTGCTCTTTAGGTGCTTGCTACTGCTTTAGTCTTCTTTCTTAAAGAAAAGGGATTTGTATGTCCTTATCGGTTTCTCATCCCATTCAACAGCTCCTGAACTGAACAACTAGTTTTGACCACACAGAACTCTAAAAGCAGAATTACATTTCTGCCAGTTTTGTGAATGTAAGGGAGCACTCAGATAGAAAGAGCCTGTGTATGAGCGTACTGGTGGAAGGCCAGGCACGCCCTGCAGCAGGCCTCGCATATTGTTAGACATCAGAGAAATCCCATGAGGGAGCAAGAGACAACTCAAATGTCTCAGGAACTGGAAAAAAAAACCCCATTGCGAGCTCACAACCAACCACAAGACATGAATCTACACAGAGGCAGGTTTTGCCAGTTCTGGTGCTCTCAGAACTACTCATTTCATTGAGAGACAACAACTCACAAAACAACCAAGACAATTACATAGCAAAGCTGCACAATAATGGTGTATTTCAAACTGCAACTTGTGTTTTTGCATTGAAGAAAAGGGTGAGTAGCTCACACACCTCTTGAGGAATGAGGAAGGGTTCTGTAATTTTACAAGTCTGTTCTACAACATTTCAGACAAAGCAGCTGCAAGAGGAAGAAATGCCCATTTCTTTGGAATGGGGTTGAGAGCCCAATTTATTCATTTTTACAAGCCAATACTTTCTGCCTTCACTGAGTTCTGCCTAATTAGGCACCGCATACAGAGAATCCATAATGGGCAGTGGCTTACGATACATGGTAGAAACAGATTTTCATGCTGCAGCAAATACATCATTATCCCTATTTATTTAATGTGTCTGTTGCTAGTCAGCAAAAAAATGCCACTCAGTGTAATTCACCATTATGGTCACTGCTCCCTTCAGCTCCCCTTGGAACTGGAAAGCTTTTATTTACCTATTAAGAAGCTTTATAGATTCATCTGCAACAGTGCACTTGAGGAAAGCCTATTCTACAGGTTTGGGGCTTTTTTCAGATTAATTCTTATCTCCTTGCTTGCACAGGCTTGCCCTGTGAACGATGACATGATCTCAGTAAGAGACATGAAAACCACAGCCTCCTCCTTACCCTTACACAGTTAAGAGGTGAATTCAGATGCCCCAAACCACAAAGCAGTTTGCGGTCTCCTGGAAAGCAGCAATTCTAAGCAACCAACAAAGGGTCTGACCTCACTCAGACACATTGTTTAGGACCCAGCACAGATCATAGGACCATAAAAACAATCCGGTGGAGCAGGCAGCACACTGGGCTGTGTCAGACTCATGGCCAAGTGCCAGGAACTCCTGTTTGGCTCCCAGCACAGCCTCCAGCTCTCTGGGTGGCCTTCGGCCCTACCCTACAAACTACTATCCAGCACAGCACTTCCTACAGGAAGCAGCCCTACTGACTCCAGCAGCACCACTCAGAGCCACAAACATGTGGAGGCTTCCACTCTTAAGAGCCCAATTACATGAGTTTCCACCCTTGTGCTAAGAAAGGAGAAAGAGATGACAGTAACTTACCTCTGCACAACTCTTACTTGGAGCTTTAGACTGTCAGCCTCCAGTACCAGCTTAAGGAGGAGCCTTGTAACGTGTATTTTGCTTCCCCAAAACACTTAAAAGGAAATGTGAAGCTAAAGCGCTCATCCTTTCCATTCAGGATAACTTGGCAGCAGCCAATGAATCATGAAAAAGCTCGTAATGTTACTAGGTTCAAAACCAGCCAGACATATATAACACCAATATACCGTCCCTCTCTGACTCCCATTTAACATGAAATTATTATGTATTACTTTACCCTATGGCCACTAAACCAGCTGCTGAAGAAGTCTCTTGGCTTGCTTGCTAAGTTGGTTGAAAGTCAGTTGCTTGCTAAGGGTCCACTAATGGAGATTCTTTGATGATCTGGAAGGTTATCTATGCCTGTCTCCTACTGAACTCCTTGCTTCTAGAAGGGTTGATGCATTAACTTTCAGCAATGTACTATAGAAAAAGAAGGAATAAGAATTATTCTTCAGGTTCTGAAGTGCTCATTGACAGAGCTTGTAATTCAAATAATGATACCTACACATGCAGAAATTAGCAACCAGCGCTGAAAAGTTGGGTGAAAGGATCTCTTGTGAACTTCACTCATCATTTTAGACGGTTTGTCACTGTATCAAAGTAAATTAACACATTAACAGGTAAGATACACAAATACATGGCAATGTTTCCAAGAGCATGGTCTTTAGGGCTCATTTCCTACAGAAGTCTATGTGAGCTCTGCAATGATCTTACAGAAGAGTTTTGGTCAGTTTTGGAAAGCTCTTACTCATTTGGGAACAGGTAAATTCTGCACCCAGCTGGGACAGGGACAGGTTCTTGCAATATGGTCCTCAAGGGGCCCCTCATAGGAGCTGCAGATCCACATCAGTCCAGACTACTTAATTTCACTGCGTTTTTATACATTAGCCTAACAGTACAAAAGAGCCTGAAAGCGCACGTGTTAACAGTACACCCCATGGAGACAGATGGCACACATGCCTGTTTGACACACACAGGAAGTGAACGTGGCGAGAAACAAATCACAGGAGAGCAAAATTTAAAAAATGTCCTAAAATGTGCATTTTATTCCATATCATTATACAATGTTTACATACAGGTATACTTTTAAAACTGCTCAAAGAAAGTGTGAAAAAAAGTGAGGCGAATATCGGTTTATAAAGTCCTCCCCCTCCCCAAAATACACACAAATAAAATACATTTTTGAAACAATCTTTTCCAAATTGATGGTTTCCCCTGAATTTATTGAATCTTTCATTTCAACATGAAAAATACAATCGCATGAAAACTCAAGGTGAAATGCTGACCTACACTTCTGTATTGAGTTGCAAGAAGACAATATAAGAACTCTGGAAGCCTTCACTTGTCTCTGTTGCTTACATACCTTTGTGTTATTGAATCAGAAGGCACAGAAAGTCCAAATCCTCACAGATCAACAGAATTCTGACAAAAAATAAATTACTGTGCTGGACAACTCCTGACTTGTCTGATATCAAACAAAAGGCTTCAGTAGAACCTTTTGTTCAAAATAGCACCATTTCCACCTGATCTCTCTTGAACGTACATCATTCTTCTTGTCATAAACTGTAGTTGGCACTTGAGGAGGGACACTTTCTGCCACAGCCAGGATTCTTCAAAAGACTAAGCAGACTGAGCTGCTGAACTCTCTACAAAGTGTAGGTAACATTTTGGTTGGGAAATGGCACATTTAAACCATAATGTAGTATAGTTTAACCCGCATCTGGCTTGCCCATTTTGGTGTTTCCCTGACCCCTGCCTGATAATTTAGCAGATGTTCTTGTGACTGTGGTGAAAAAACAAACAAAAAAGAGACATTTATGGGGGTTCACGGCAAGCAGGTGTAAAAATAATAAATCATGTGGTTGCTGCTAAGAAGGTTTTCACATGTTGTTTAACTCCAGTAAAGTTTGATCCAGCATCTGATGCATACTAAGGTTTTCTTCTTTGGCATGCGCCACTTTCTCTGTTGTGGGATTAGAAAATCAAAACATGAATAGCAGTTCTTTGGAGGCACTGGTTCTCAGAACATGAAGGCATGCAATCCTCATCTCTACCGAAGGGTTTAGAAAGGCAAGAAATGTGCATGCTCATAAATACCCACATCCCCAGATAACACAACTAGAGAATTCTGAATTAATAAAAGGAAGGGCAAGTAATGCAAGTTTAGAACTGTTCACAGCTGCATTTGTTAAGAAAATGCACTGCCAACAGAGACACAATTCTTGCATGTTCTGGAAGCTGTTTGCTCATAGGAATGTGGGATGGAGAATCCCTTTTTTCCCCCCTTTTTAAGTAGGGCAATAAGAATGAAATTCTTTGCAGATCCACACTTAAAGCTTCATGTACCTCAGAGCTTGCAAAGAACAGACAAAATTAAAACTAATCTCTTCTAATCTCAGTGAAGTGACATTAAGAAATCTAGTCTAGAAAATAATTCAAATCCGAGTTAGTAGCTTTATGTCGCATGCACACTTTTTATAGGACAGTCATTTAACACACTTATTTGATACAATAAATGAGCACAATGTTCTAGATATGCATCCTACCAGAATCCAGTAATAGTAGCCTCAGACTAATGCAAGCATACCTTCAAACTGACCAAGGATTTGCAGATGGAGCTCCCATTCCTAGGGTTTTTGTTGTTGTTTGTTTGTTTGGGTGTTTTTGTTTGGTTTTTTAAGTCAATACCAGCCCAATTCATAATAATGCAAAATTATTGCATCAAAGTCTCCAGATAGCAAACCAGCCATAAGTATCCTTTATGTTCTTCTGAAATAGGGAAATGTGAATCCCGGTGAACATTTTTCTTTCATCCATGTTCTAGTAAAAATCTTAATGCCAATTCATGATGTCAGGTAAACTGAGTGCCCCTCCACATGGAAGGCTGTTACGTTTTGGATACTGTTAGCTGAATACTGTAGCTGTTTAATGAAGTGGAAAGAAGCTATTACACAGCCAAAGAGCTTACTGCTCCTCCAAATAGGTGTGCATACAGATAATGAAAAGGCTCATCCAGAAGCAGCATTTTCATGTTTCCAAAAGAAACTGAGAATTTCATCCATTAATTTACCACAGAATCAACAGCCTGTAAAAAATCAACTT